TAACCTAGGCAAAATAAATTGTTCTACAAAAATTCAACTTTTCTAGACGTGTTCGAGGTCACTTGTATAAAATCATCAACAAAGCAATTTAGCAGATTATTTTTAAATAATGCTGTTACAAAGTTGTCATTTTTTAGTTTTGTGATTCTAAGTCTAAATTAATTAGACTATTTACATATTAATTTTTGGAATGCAACCAACTTTGGAGGATTTATTTTCTATCCCAGCTACTTATACCGTTAATCTTTACTGTTGAGTTTTAAATTGGTAATCTGAAAATAGTTTAATGAAATACCTAAGCTGAGTATGTTTTGCGTGGCTGTGATAATTACAACCTAAACCTACCTACCCAGTGTCATTTCTAAGTCGAATAATAAACGATTTTATAAACTGAATATAGGTAGGTATGCCCCTTTAATTATTCTATTAATTGCTTTCATATTTTGGGCGTGTAAACAACGTTTTTCTTTTACGACATTGGAAAACGATACACTATACCACGTGGCTGTTCAGATGTTTTTATTTAATTTAATTTTCGACACAACCGTTAAAAATTACCGGAAAGCAGACGAATTATATTTTACTTATAATACTATTAATAAATACCAAGACATTTTATTACTTACCAGCTTTAACAACTAACACAAACAGCAAACTGAAACTGTCAAGCACAGAACTTCAATATAAGAAATGATACCTACGTTGTTAACGATGGAAACAAATTTGCGCCCTCGGTGTGCAGCTGGCCAACTATACTATACGCGCGTAAATTTGAATACGCGGATCATCTACTTCTATATAGGCAACCACCTACTTCTGTTTAGGCAACCACCCACTTCTGTATAGACAACCACCTACTTCTGTATAGGCAACCACCTACTTTTGCGGGTTATTTTAATGTAAAGTCTCATATGAAATTACAAAAAGTATACAGAATGTAATGTAACCTATTTATTATCATACATCTAAATACATATAAAATAAACAAATCAAGAAATACAAATATTAGATACAATAATAATAAGAGAAAGATATGTAACTCACAATGTGAAGCTTTTATGGTTATCATCCCTCCTGTCAGATTGTGGTGTAAGGAAAATGAACAACTGCGTACCTAAACAAACAATTTTGGAAATTTGAAAACAATAATAGTCAACTTACTTGACGAGATATTTCTGTCAATACCGATATGTGCCAATTCATTTAGCGTTACCCAGGGTGCACCACGAGGAGGCGAACTAGCATTACACCCCAAACAAAAAAAAAAATTCTAAAAAAATAAAAAAGCAAATTCAGAAACAATAACAATGAAAATACATTCTCAGCCAATAAAAATACAAACCATAAATCAAAATAATAAATTCTTAAACAATAAACAATAAAATAGATTCTCAAACAATCACAAAATAACATTGTAAACAATAAAACATAATAAATTCTTAAAAAATCAAATCCTAAACGACTCCAAATAAAATAAATTCTCAAAAGATAAACATGCAACAACCGACACAATTTCTGCAATGATTATAATGACTGTTATCCAAACACTAATAAACAATAATGATAACAAAGAAAACAACACAAGAAAAAATCAATTGCGAAATGTTTTCATTTTGTTGACATGTTTAACAGAAGCTGCAACAAACGCTTCTTGCGAGCTTCTGTTGATATCGTTTACATATTTAAAAATAAAGAACGAGGTAACGAAATTGAGAAATTGCCGACACACATCAGTACGATGATCACCGCACGGGAATACATTCTCTCCGTATTTTGCTAGCCAATGGGTTTTAAACTTGTCTTCCAAATGCGTTTCGTCTGAATGACTTTGTAAAAACGCTGTCAGCAACTGATGTGTGTCATGTACCACGCCCGCAAAATTATCAGAAGAATATGTTAATCGTTCTTGATTATCATTTTCTTTGAATATAATTAACAAATCGGAAGGATTTCGTTGATCTGATGATGAAAAGAAAAATGACTTACAAGAAGCACAATCTGGCAAATTAATTTTTTTCAAAATAAGTCCCGACACGTATTTAAGTGCTGCTCGTTCTTTCTCAGAAATTTCCTCGTTGGAAATGGCGAATTTAAAAGTATTATCATAATCACTGACATCACTGAAATTACTGACATCATCTTCAGAACGTGAACCTTCCAATAACGCATGCAGATTTGAAAGAACAGATTCTCCATCATCTTCACAATTTGCAGAAACATATTTTGGAGTGACTAAATTATTGACAATACAAGCTTTAAGAGCTGCAACAAATTGGTGGCAAGTCGGATTGGTGTTGGTTACACCGTGCTGCCTAATACAGCAGAATAAATTTTCAACTGGATCTTGATTTAAAACGCGTGGACATAAATACTGAAAACCGGCCAGGTGTAAATTGTTCCACACGGCAATCGCGCTTCTAATAGAGACCTGCCATCCATTGATGAAAGAAAATTGATGTGTGACATCTTTACCCGTTTTTAAACTAATAATTTTCCACTTTGAGATTTTTGATAAACTTTCGTTCCAAAATGCCAAATGGGGAGAATCTGCTGTTATGGCACATCTCAACGGTTTTCCATCGGAAGCGTACTGCTGTGATCCATTTAATGAATCGAACAACTGATCAGTGAAATGAATAAAGTCAGCAGTGTGAATCGCCTCAGTTGGCAAAAGAGAAACACTTAATGAAGTACAAACGTTGATGGCTGCAGCTACACTTGCACTTAATTGACGACAAGCAACATTGACTTTCATTTTTAAATAAGAATTTTTAAAATTGAAATGCTCAGGCTTGAGTTTAGGTAAAATTTTGTATGTATTCTTTTGATCTAATTCAAAAACAGTTACAATATGTTCAAATTTGGCTGATTTATGATCCTCAAAACGAATTTCGTTGTCAAGCAGGGCATTGCGCGTACTCTTCATTAAATGGCCAAGATCATACATTGTGTTAACTGCAACATCATCAACAACAAAATGTGTCATTGATGGGGTATCATTAACTGTTTCCCGACACAACTGAGACATTGCACCTCTGTTCGTAGCACCTTGATCACAAACTGTTGTGACAACGTTAAGACCAATGGAACGAAGCTCTTGGACACATCTTACAACAATTTGTTTCAAATGTGGAGTCTTAATGGTTTTCCAAGTAAAAAAATACGCAATTGGCTGTTTCCAACGTTTACGAACACCGCGCGCCATGAAGACTAAGGCATGGTCGGCATTCTTATTGAATCGTCCAAGATAACCCAAGTCTTCATATCCCATGATTATTTGACGATACTTTTCGTAATGCAATATGCTACTTAATTTTATTTCATCGAACATTAATGTGCAATATCGGTCCAACTCGTGCATTCTACTTACTTCTACTTTCAAACACTGAAGCAAATTATTATTAAACCCGATATCAAAAACTACGCCATTAAGAACCCGCTTTAAAACTCGTGGTGACGGCAACTCGAAATGAACCTGCATATATTTATACAAACGAGGGCTACGCTTATACATTGTCAAGGCAAAGAGCTTCATTTCTTTGGTATAACGTTTGCCACTCGACACTTTCAAATGATTTTGCAATTGACAATTAATAAAAGTCTTATTAATTGTATTTAATTCAGTGTCAATGACCTCAAGTTGTTTACTTTCATACAATTTTCTCAACTTTTTTACTTGATCTCGTTCTTTCGCCAGTTGTTCTTTCAACTTTGTAATTCTACTTTGAGCAGTTCTATGCACATTGTACAACAGTTCTTTCCTTGGTGTTAAATCTTTCTTATGAACGCCAATCTTTGATAAAATGCCCGGCCGTGTTTTTGATTCTGGAAAGCTCTCTGACAAAAATGCATAGCCAGGTTTGTCAGAAGCCGTTGTACACGTTGCCGTAGAAGAACATAACAACTCTGAAGGAATTTCCTCTAAGCAAACGTTACTTTCTTCTACGGTAGAAAAGTCTGTTTCAGCAGAAAAGGAGCAACTAGCTACGGGTTCCACAGCAACTGAGTGTAAATTTCCGCTGCAACCACTTGACGCACTGCTCATGGCCTCTTTGAAGACATATTCCTTTGGGACCACATTAGGCAACCGTCTGTTTCGATTTAATGGATCATGAAAATCTCTCGAGTGAAAATGATTTTGACACAAGTATAAGGACTTACACGGTTTACTTGCATCAATTTTACAAATTTGTCTCCAAAGTTCCTGCATTTCCACATACCCTTGTAGAACACATTCCCGCAGTTTGGATATTTACATCGATATGCAATACGGCGTGGTTTCTTCATGTTCGAGAGATTTGGAAAGTTTTTCAGAGTGCTCTTGAGATAATTTTGCATGATTTTGGGAGATTTGAACGGTTTTTTCGTGTGCCCAATTTTTGGTGGTCTACAGATATTTGGGTACTTTTGGGGTGGATAAAAATTTATGCTTTTTGAGAGGTTTTTTGCCTTTTTTGGTTGTTGACTTTTGAGAAAACAGCTAAATTTGTAAGATGCAACCCTGATTTTTAACACGCCAAATGCCATGGTCCAGAAGTAACATTTTATACTCTACTTTTAACATATTTATTTAACAGTATCAGTACTTCGATTTTATACAACAATAAGTTATTTAATATGTTTTAAATTATTTGTCTACCAGCACGATATGACTTATCATGATCCACCACCACAGCATAGGCTCACATAGACAAATTTAGAAGTTGTAGAAGTAGCAAATATATACATATATCTCTTTTTTTAATAGTGCTTTTTGATGGTTTTTTGTTGGTTTTTGATGTTTTTTTATTGATTTTTGATGGTTGTTTATAGGTTTTTGATTTTTTTTTAATGATTTTTTGTTGTTTTCATATAACATTCAACAAAAAGCGGTTTTTGGTTAACTTGAATTTTTCTTTTTAATATCTTAGTATATTTAGTTGTGATGGTAGTAGTCATATAACAATAAATATAAAGAATATAACCTATTTCGCTTCTTTTTTAAGTGTTGCATGTTGGGCTTATTCGAATCCTTCTTCGATGGTCTTTTTTTCGACCTGAAAAAAGTTTTACGTAGCGACTTTAAAAAAACCAAAAATGGCTCCTGTGTCAAGGCCGACGTGGACAGAATCGATTTTTTTGAGCAAACTTATGCGTTCGTTCCAGAAGAAAGTTTTGATGTATACAACCGATATTCTATTTCTTACCATTTGGACACGAGAAACTTTTGCCCTTTTCTCCCTTATTTACAACTTTTTTCAAAATTTTTTTTACCGCTTACGAACTATGACGTTTTTTCGTTATTACTACTAAACAGTAGCGAAAAATATTTATTTTGCGAAGTGGACCTATAGACTGTTCAGTCAGAAATATTTTGATGCAAAAATATTTTTTTTAAGTTTTGCCGTTTCGGCGCTACAGACTTTTGCGCTTTTCACTGCCATGTTGGAAGTTAGCTGAAAAACGTCGACGGAGATGTATATGATGCGTATTTGTAGGTCTTTTTTGTCCTGTACACGAACCTTCTATCTCTTACCGTTTTCGAGTAACAAAGCTTTTTTCTATTTGAACGGTAAACACACCTATGACTGATATTTATTTTTGGTTACGGCAAGCTAGTAGTTCATGAGGATGCATTTTTTTTTGTGGAAAAACAAACTTTTCAAAATTTCGATAATTTTTTTTTGACATTTTTTTCTTTTCAATTTTTCTTTATATCCTTGGATTTTTTTTTTTTTCACCAAAACTTCTAATTTGCTTTCCTACTGCTCAAGGAAAACTTCTTTTCGAATTCTGACAACCTTTTTTGACAAAAATGTTTTGACCCCCAAACTCAAATTTTCACATACATATTTAATTACTAGCCGATCCCGTGAACTTCGTTTCACCTACAATTTAATTTTGAATGTGCAAAATCGAATGCTTTGAAATCTTGCAGATGTTTTAACCATATGATGAGCATAATAAATTTTTATTCAAAATATATTTACTTATCCCCTCCAAAAAATTGATGACGTCTGCCCAAAATTTTGACAAATGAATCCTATTTAACCCTGCGCTAGTCGCGCTTAAAATGTTTTTACCAGTGGTCGCGCGGGAGCGTTTTGCTCACACCTGATTTTTTTGAACCAAAATTAGTTTCAGTAAAAAAAACGAGTGCACAACAACATTTTATTGAACAGAAAAACCATGAACACAAACGAGAATAAAAAATAAACAAATATCGTAGTTACCTGCAAAAACAAATTATTCTGAATCGGCATTAATACTGTCATGGCATCTAACGCATACAGTTTTTTGTGTTCCCCACAGACGGGCGTATCACATTGTTCCATATCGCATTTACTTTTTGTTTTTCTATTTTTCCTGCGAGGACAAAAACTGCAAAAGACATTTTCACCAGTTCTCACAACTTGCGTTTCTGTAATTCCTAGTTGTTTCCCAATCGAAGTTTTGATTTGAGCAGGTACATTTCTTTCTAGCTGCGTCATCTACTGCGACTTTACTAAATCTATGGCTAATGTTCTAAGATAAACTCGTATTATCCAGTTTATATTCTCTTGATAAATTAATTGACTGTTTATCCCTCCAATGTTTAGAAGCGAAAAAAATATACTGAGAGGCCATCTGCAGCTTACTCTTGACACTGAATACAACGACTTTAGTTTGTCTACAACATCTACTCCGCCTTTGTGTTTATTGTAGAATGATATAACTTCTGGTAAACAACGTTCTCCAGAATCTGCATTTATGTCATCTGTATCATGAGCCGTTGATAGCATGAGTATATTTTTGTTTTTTCTTGGCACATATGAAAGAAGAAGTGAATGTTCCCCATAGGCAAACATACTACTGAAGAGCGGTCTTTCTTTGGTAGCCAAAAAGACAGGAGGTATTTCTTTTTTATTTTTGCGAAGCGTGCCTACAAGTGTTAAGTTATGATTTTGTAACAAGTCTTTAGCCAATGAGATGGAAGTGAAAACATTGTCGCACGTTACATTTCTCCCAGAATTTGATATAGGAACAATTAATCGTTGGACCAGACTACTAGCACTATTCTCAGTTTGATATGGACTATTTTCTGGTTTTTTCCCACAGTATATCTCCATGTTCAATGTGTAAAAATTTTGAGCATCTGCTAACGAATAAATTTTAATTCCGTATTTTCCAGGTTTGGTAGGAATGTACTGGCGAAAAGAACACTTGCCTCTAAACTTTTCTAACATTTCATCTATGGTACACTGCTCGCTGACTTGATAGAATTCAGAGCATTTATTTACAAATCCTTGAAAAATATCTCTGATTGGTGCCAGTTTATCAGTCTTTTTACGAATAGATCGGGTTCTGATGTGGAAACGTAAAGAACGAAGTAAGAACCGAAAACGTTGGAGAGACATTACTGATCTGAAGAGTTCTGGCGCAAACGGATCGTCACTCCATAATTCCTCTAAATTTAGATGAGATGCTTTGAGAACTCCGGCCGTTTAAAAAAACCCAAACAGTGCCTGTAACTCAATTACATCTGTATCTAAAGCATCTCTTTCGCGCAAGTATTTGTCTCTAAGTTTAGCGATATAAATATTTGTAGTTTCAACAATAGTCTGTAAAACCGCTTCAGGAAAATATAATTTCCAGGAGTCAATAATCTAAACTATATGTTTGGCAGCGTCTTTTACCCCTGGCTGGCCGGAAACGATGTTGCAATTTCGTCTACGCATACGTCTTGAAGGTGGATGTTTTCCCGATTTAGTTACCATATCTTTTCCTGTAAAGTGAGCACCACCAGGATCAGGTTCAGCATCTGAGTCGGCCGACATTTCAGAATCACTGTTTTGGTTGTTAGTTTCTACATAATCAATTTCGTTATCGTCACTGTTCACTGAAAGGTTCTCTATCGAATTATCTTCTTCAGTCTCAATTTCTTCTAACCATTGTAACAAGCGTTTTTCTTGAGCAGAATCCATAGTATATTGTCACTAAAATTTTTACTGATAGTTGTTATCTATAAAATTAAAAATAAAAACAATTATACCTGAAGCTGAACTGAACTGAAATATTCACGTTTTCACATTTGCTGTGAAATATTTGCAGGTTATGTTGACACAAATCTAAAAACTTTATATCAGCATTGATGGTCGCACAGTGAGAATGGTGCTCACCTAGAATACAATCATTCGAGAAACAAATTGCAAAAAAGAACGTAATACAATAAAATTAATGAATCTACAACCAAAATAATTAAAAAAAAAATGAGAGGTGTCAAGGAACACCCGCATGGAACGAAGTTCCTTTCGATTAATTAGTGAAGGAATTGTAATAAAATTTTATTTCTTTTAAGTTATAATAATAATTTTTTTATTATTGTAAGAATATCCGGGATGGTTCGGGAAAATTCTTCTTAACTAACGAATAATGCACTCATAACGTATAATGTGCAATATATTTTAAAAAAACTAACAAAAACAGCTTAAACGGTTAGCCACACATAAAAAAACGTTGCGCGTCGCTTGGTCTTGTTCGATCGAATGGTGTCTTCCGATTTTTTCGGTTGGCAGAACCGTTTCACCAACTAGCGGGAATTTTAAATTCTACGTTTACAGCTCGGCCAACCTGACCAATGATCGACCTCGATCACTTCTTAATTAATTACAACTTAACACCTAAATACAAGAATTCAACCAAAATGAACACATAGCTAATAATAATACATAAGTAATGCTAATAAAAAGTCATAATGTCTTAAGTATTGATTAATCGAACTTACAAAACCACAACATAATCATAAAATCATAAGATTCGCTACCTCATAACTTCAGTCGAAACATAATCCAACATAATAATACATAAGTAGAAGTAGACATAAAGTTTAACACATAAAAGACAAAACACCTTAAAACATAATACCTAATCATACATTAACAGTAAAACTCATAATTAAATCTAAATTAAATGCGATTAATGAGATAATTAATCAACAGGCAAAGTTGAATTTGAATTCGATTGCCAGGGTTTCATTCTACCAGCCTCAAATACCCCTTCAAACGGAATTTGGGTTATTTGAAAACCCTCAATGTCCTTTATTAAATATCTGTCATGCGACAAACATTTGGCAACCACATAAGGGCCACGATACTTAGGTAAGAGTTTTTTATTAACTCCAGGAGTTACGTCGGTGTTAATAATCATAACATAATCACCTTCCTTGTAACTCTTTGGAGCCTTATGTCTTCCGTCAAAATTTGTTTTGTTTCTCTCCTGACTGGCAACAATGCTGTCAGCTGCATTTCTTCTCAAGGTCTGTAAATCTCTCTCTCTCTTTCATCCAAAAGTTCCAGATAAACACGTAATTCGTCTCTTACTTTTCCCCTTTGATCTACTCCGAATTATGATTTGCAGTAATTTGTTTTAAGCGCAAATCAATTTTGGCTAACAGTTCTGCACTGATCATGCTGATTTCATCAATAATCAATACTTTGAGGTATCTAAAAAGAGATCTGTACAAATGTAACACTTCAGATGATAATGGCAATAGTTTAGAAATCGAAATTTTAAGAGCAGTATGAACCGTAGTACCATCAGTTGCCACAGCAACTTTACCAGTAGATGCACAAGCTATATACGAATTACAGTAACCATCATTGTCAGTATATCTATTGTAGATTTCCATTATAAGTTTAATAACAAAAGTCTTGCCACTGCGTGCTGGACCAGTGAAAAAAACTTGAAATGGTTGCTGATTTGGAGTTTGAAGATGATATATAATATGCATTAAAAGTTCTTTTTGCTCACTGTTAGCCGATCTCATGAAGTCGTAGAATTGTTGAGTGTCCATTAAATTTTCTCTTTTTTTTGCAATAGCACCAAGTTTGCTGAGTGTGGCATTTCGTATATCAGCATTATCGACAGAATCAACATCCTGTAGTAATCTTGCATATGGTTCTTCTTCAAATATGACATTAGCTTCATTTCGCAACTGTTCGTCTTCATTGTCATCATCTCTACCTAACTGTCTACAAATTTCATGTGTTTTTTCTAGGTCTAAATTACATTCAAACTCTTTTCTGCGTTCCAAAATCAAGTTTTTATTATCTTCATAAATTTGAATGAATTTATTTTCAGCAAGAACTTCATTATCTTCACTTCTAAAAGGAATGTGTAGTAACACCATTTCGCGTCTATAATGGTTGAAATTGTTAGTCATGTCATAGTTACGGTATCTAATAACTCTAGACATTTTTCTTTTGTAGTACTCTCCGTGTTTTCTCATACTATAATTAGCAACAAATTGAGCTAATGTTACATTTTCAAGAATTTCAGGCCTTTTTTCATACTTATCGAACCAATTTTCCTTCCATATATTTGTACAGTCATCACCTAAATCATTTAGCTGTTTTAAAGTTTTTCTTATTCTCTGACGTTCTGTTGGGTATATCGTTGGTATGTAAACTGTTGTTACAGATGATTTAGCAATTGGTTCGCGTAATAAATACCAAGCTGCTTCTTGTGCAGGCATTTCCACAGCATGAAGTACATCAATACTTAATTTTTTTGTAATATCTACGATATCAAATTCGGGATTCTCGTCCATAGTTTGAATAATCATCCGTTGTAAATTACTTATGCCTCTATTATGTTTATTAACATACTCAACTACATAAGCAGCACAGGCATATTCGTCTTGAATTATTTGAAAATCCATGTTAGATTGTAAGCAATGAAATACAAATGGGTTAAAAGTATTATGCCATTTTTCAGATGGCGTCCTCCGGTAAAGCAACTTTGGTCGAACTATACCAGCACGGATAATGTTATAATAATGTTCATCAGAAACAATATTATTATGAGTATAGTAATGTTCAAAATTGTCGTAATCAAAATTTTCTAAATTAGTTTTAAGTAACTGGTAATGTCTTTCATACTCTTTAAACTGATCTGCAGAATAATCAGAATCTGTGTTTTTCATTGGCATTAATGTTATTGTGTTACGTGACGGTAAAAAAGGCGCTCCAAATCTACAGTTATCTTTTTTATTAGGATCCATTTTTTATAGCATGTGAATGTGTGCTTATGTGTTTGCAGTTTAATATTTCCAGATGCATCTGATTCGGTTACTGAAACTAATTTCTCAACCATTTCATTAAAATCTTTGGAGTTATTTAATAAATTTTCTGGAGCATTATCCAACCATAGAAGTATATGAGCATGAGGACTTCCACGGTGCTGAAATTCAATTCTTTTAAAGTAATATTTCACTCTATATTTACCAAATGGATTTCCTTTTTTTGACTCCAATATTCTCAATAAACAATTTACTAACTTATTAAAGTATGTTGCACAAGTAACTGCATCTTCGTTTACTAATTGAGCTTTGTGTACATATAACATGTCGTTTAAGGATTCATCATTAATTTCTACTCCATTATTTTTTAGTTTGTACAACAATGTAAGCAAATCTGTCCATCCTGTTTCATTAGCACTAAGTGTCATAAAAGCAGTTGGAGCTCCAAATTGTCTCATCGTTGCGAAAAGATTGTTTTTTCCATCTGCCCAATACCACGCAGAATTTGGTATGCAACGAAGAAAAGCAAGATTACTTTCGATACAACTGTTAATGTAATCTTCAGACTGTATATTCTCTTTAGTAATTTTAGTATCATGTTGTAACAAGTGCATTTGAACAAGTGCACGTGCAATCCCAAAAAGGTCATTGTCGCGAGCTGATTTGTCTCGGCTGTCCATCATGAGTCGAAATTCTTGTTAACGACCCCTTAAAAATCACTTCTTCCAAACCTTCCCAGAAAATCCCAACAAATAGATCCATATACTTCCTTTGTCCTATCTAGCTATATCCCGTCCTCTCTGCATGTGGCACTGGACCCTCGGGTTAACTTTATAGTACCACATGTCCGATCTTTTCCGAGGGAGTCGTTAAAAAAGTAAATTAAGTTTCAAGCGTGCCTAGCCCTTTTGTCGAATTTCAAGAAACGGCACAGTTTTATAGCGACCATGATGGATGGGTACAGAGGCAGAGAAGGGCTTTGTTTGAGAGATTCCGTTGTCGAAAAGGCGTGATGCCTCACTTTGTAAATAATTGTGTACAGATGTTTTGAGAAAACAAAAGGTTGGAAATTCGGATGGATGACGGACATGGATCTAGCCTACCACAGGTGGAATAAAGTTTGCAGTTCCACCTGTGAGAAACACCCGAGTCATAAGTAAAAGAACGTTTGATGGATTCGAGATCTATGTCTGGCTATCCTAGTTAAGTCGCGAGGTGGGTGGGTGGGTAGGTGGGTAGGTGGGTAGGTGGGTAGGTGGGTAGGTGGGTAGGTGGGTAGGTGGGTAGATAGATAGATAGATAGATAGATAGATAGAAGCTTTATTGCTATTACTTACAAAAAAGTTTACAAACGTCCAGAATAATATTACATACAAGAAGTATAATAAACAAAATAACATTATAGAGCAATAAATAAAATATTTATGTTAACTAAAAGTTTCATTTCGTATTTTAAGCCTAAATTCATTAATAGTATAGAATGCATTTTTAAGAAGAATTTCTTTGATAATCTTTTTAAAAGATGGATATTCTAATATTTTAATGCATTCTGGTAATTCATTGTATAAACGAACACAGAAATATTTGCTGCCAAAAGAAAGAAGTAGATTCACTAAAAGTTGAGTTTTCTTCTGAGAAGTATTAAATATTACATTAAAATCGCCCATTAATATAATACAATACTTCGCTTTAATTAATCGTGATAACAATTTATCCAGGTTTCTTAGAAAACATCAAAATTACCATCAGATGTCCTATATACTGCTATAATAATAATTTTACCATTGTAGGAATATCCGGGATGGTTCGGGAAAATTCTTCTTAACTAACGAATAATGTACTCATAACGTATAATGTGCAATATATTTAAAAAAACTAACAAAAACAGCTTAAACGGTTAGCCACATAAAAACGTTGCGCGTCGCTTGGTCTTTTTCGAGCGAATTGTGTCTTCCGATTTTTTTCGGTTGGCAGAACCGTTACACCAACTAGCGGGAATTTTAAATTCTACGCTTACACCATATTTAATGGCTGCAAATTCACACTCAAGATCCTGACAGTATTCATCAAAATCTAAAGAACAAACCGGAGTAAAAGAATTTCTTGTTAGTATACATACGCCACCGTGACTGACACTTTTCCGGCAGTAACTAGCTGCAAGAGAGTAACCTCCAATGTTCATAATTTCCAATTCACCACGCGTCATCCAGTGTTCATTTATACAGAGAACGTCAATGGGACCATCATCTTCGAGAAAAGCTTATGTATCTAAAATTTTATTTTTTAAGAACTGTACGTTAATATTATATACATTAATTAATTGAGGCATTACACTGAAGTTGCCTCTGTCGTCGGAATTTTCCCTAAAAAATTATTTCTAGGAAAGTTGAAACGTCTCACACAAACTCCTTGTGGCCAAAAGTCTTCTTTGAGTAAATCATCCTTAAATCTGAAATTTACGCCCACTTTGTAAGCATCATATGTTGTACCCTGAAGATTAAGATTATCAACGATGACATCTTCCGAAGAAAGCTTACTGGCTATATATGACTTGATAACGGTCGTATCGACGTTTTTGTTAACCTTCCCTACGTAGTACCATGCCCTTTTGACATAATTGGAGCAAAAACCCAAATTATCATTCACCTGTAGCGTCCCAGTTATTGTGGACGCACGCTGTTTTCGATTTTGACGTGGTTTTTGTACACGTCCTGAATTTTCCTTTGAATTATTATCATTGGTATTGTTAGTTGGCAAGACTTCTTTACGCAATATTTTCAGATCACGACGGTTTCGGCGTGTCCTTTGTTCAGTCCACGGATTTTCAATTAGATCACAGGACTTACTTTCTTCATCCGATGATTCGCACGTACTCGGTGTTGTTGGCACGCTTTTTTGTCGGTCTTGATATCACCATTTCTTTCCTGGTAGTTGAGATTGTTTTTTTGGAGGGCAGGTGTTCTTTTACGAGTTTTCTCGACTTGTAACAATTCATTACAATTGACACTAGGTTTCGTAATTAACGGTGGATAATGAGGAAATGTACACTTGACTGGAGCAGGAACACTAGGATTGTTCAACGTTAACAACCTCACCAGCTCTAAATTGCTATCTTTGAGTTCCCGAACTTCATTTCTCAGCATTTCTATTTGTTGTACCAACGGCAGGGTTATCTTCTTGACAAAGTCTTCAATATCCTCCGTTGAGAGTTCCATTTTCTTGAACTGGCTAGGCGCACTTTTTACGTTATCGGCGTTCTCACAACAAATTATCGTTGTTTCACTAAGATATTGGATATTTTTCAGCAATTTAACACAACTCGGATGACTCAAAGAGTTACATTTTATACATGTAAGCCCAGCAGTTGGCATAGACTTACACTTTTTGCAAGGAATAATCCCAGAGGGATTGTTTGGCGCGTCTTTACTCTGCGGCTGCATGACCGCAACTAATATAATTAAGTGTAGTTAGTTACTTACCATCGCACGACTTTCCCACACACCCCATAACGAATCTCTAGCGTAGGTGCAAGAGCGTTCATTTCCTGCTAACCCCAAAGACTTTGCCTTTTCAAGACGCGGCGCGATGACGTGGGACGATGACGCGGCGCGATGACGTACCGGTGTTAACGACACGCTGCTTGCCGACGCCCGGAGTGGGGACGCGATGAGTAATATTATTATCGCTCGTAACCGAACTTTTGCGGATTGAAAAATTGATATCTCAGGAACCAATTGACCGATTCGGCTGTGGTTTGCGTCAAAATAAAGCTGGCGACGGGCTGCTTCTTTTAAGCCTAACTACACTATTTTCACCGCACTTTTTCCCACCACTCACTTGAAGTTTGACGGAGCGATGTTAAACACGACCGTTTACCCGCGCTTGCTGGAATTTCTTCACGTTGACATTCAGAGCACTGGGCAGAAATCACATTGCGTCAACACCCGCTGGGGCCATCGCAATGCTTTGTTTTAATTAGACAGTCGGATTCCCCCGGTCCGTGCCAGTTCTGAGCTGACCGTTGAATGGCGGCCGAAGAGGACATCCGGACGCCCTTTCGGGCGCACCCGGAGCCTCGCAGCAAGAAGGTTCCGCGGGAGGCCAAGGCACGGGACCGGGCTCGGATCCGACGTCGCCGCCGAAACGGCAACGCTTCACCTCGCCCAGGCCCGGCACGTCAGCCGCGACCCGCTTCCCCGTCAAGCCCGACACGCCCCGATCCTCAGAGCCAATCCTTATCCCGAAGTTACGGATCCAATTTGCCGACTTCCCTTACCTACATTATTCTATCGACTAGAGGCTCTTCACCAGAGAACACAGAGAAGCGCCATAGTTTAAATTAAATGACGGTTGCGGACTCCTCAATTTACGTTGGTAGCAGTGTTTGTTTCTAACTAGGGATAAAAGTAACTAGAAGAAATGTCATAATATTTTTAATGACGCGTTTTATTTCCGACAAATTGACACTAAATTTACCAGAATATTACAAGCTGCTTACTGTTTCCTTGACTTTCATTCAGGTCACATGAATTACAATTATAGTGAAACAAGGTTTTTATGGGCGTCGACTATTTAAATTTGGCGCTTGCCTTTTTCAGTTGAGGACTCCAGTGTCAATAAGGGTGGTTTTGCAAAATCAGCCTCTATGTCGCTTCTCTATGTTCTCTGTCTTCACCTTGGAGACCTGCTGCGGATATGGGTACGAACCGGCGCGACGCCTCCACGTGGCCCTCTCCCGGATTTTCCAGGTCCGAGGGGAAGATCCGGACACCGCCGCAACTGCGGTGCTCTTCGCGTTCCAAACCATATCTCCCTGCTAGAGGATTCCATGGAACTCGAACGCTCATGCAGAAAAGAAAACTCTTCCCGGATCTCCCGACGGCGTCTTCGGGTCCTTTTGGGTTGCCCCGACGAACTCTCTTGCGAGGGCCCGAATTATAAGCGGTTCCGCTGCCGGGTTCCGGAATAGGAACCGGATTCCCTTTCGCCCAACGGGTATCAGTCCTTTAGACCAATAACTAGCATAGGAAAATTCCGGCTTTTTGATATGGTCGAGAAAATAAATTGGACATTTATTGATGATCCAACTACAAGCTGTAATGCAAAATTCGCTAAATTTGTTAATTTATTATCACACCTTGCCAATCTTGCTTTTCCGGTAAAAATCTTTAAATTCAAACAATCACGTGACATAGAAATTGAGTGGTATGACGATGAACTGAGAGCTATGCGTGAGTATCTACTAAATCTATCTAGCATACACAATATTTTACAAACTGACGAAACTAGAAAGGCAAGAAATCGCTACCGCAAAGTTTATCGCGAGAAAATAAAGTTAACTCGAATTAACTATAACAAAAAATTCATTAATACTGCTAAAAACAAATGTAAAGCTATGTGGACAGTAATAAACGAATCTCGCAATAATCTTGGCTCCAACAATAGTGATAGCAAGCAAGCCTGTGATATATCTAGTGATAATTTTAATGATTACTTTACGAATGTTGCACCATGCTTAATTAATGATCTCCCTACAGCCTGTGAAAACCCTATACAATTAATGTCCGATAATTCCAAATTTATGTCTTTGTGCTCTAATAATGCTTTTGAATTCACTGAAGTATCAATGGTGCAGGTCAGAGACGTAATAAACGATTTAAAGAATTCGAACTGCAAAGATGTAGATAATCTAAACGTTAATCTTATTAAGACTATTAGAGATCTCATCATCTCTCCGCTCACTAAACTTGTCAATCTATGTATCAAAGCTTCCGTCTTTCCTGACTGTCTAAAAGTTGCCTTTGTTATTCCTATTCACAAAAAAGGGAATGTTAATGATCCGAACAACTACAGGCCCATCTCCATCCTGCCAGTATTTTCCAAAATACTGGAGAAACTTTTATACACACAGTTAGGAAATTTTTTTGAAAATAATCAACTGTTTGCTGACTCCCAGTTTGGTTTTTGCAAAGGACGAAGCACTACTGACGCTGCACTATCTCTAACAAACACAATATTGCAATGCTTTGAGAAACATGAATTTGGAATCATCAGCCTTCTTGATCTGACCAAAGCTTTTGACTGTGTCTCCCACGACATCTTGTTGAAAAAATTATATATGTATAATATCAGTCCCCATAGCTGTAGCCTACTTTCTTCTTTCCTCTCCGGACGCCACCAGTTAGTTAAAGAAGGTGATTCAATTTCCGGACTCCTTCCTATAAAAATTGGAGTGCCCCAAGGATCTGTTCTTGGGGCACTCCTGTTTTTAATCTTTATAAATGACTTTCCTTTATATTTACAAGAGAATAGTATATTATTTGCCGATGATACGACTATAGTGAGCACTGGTACTAACGTCAATAACGTAATTCACAGACATAAAGAGACACAGTCAAGAGCAGAAGCTTGGTTTGCAGCTAATAGATTGCTTCTAAATAAAGCTAAAACGGTTGAAATGTTATTCTCATTGAAAGAGCATGATTTCCACGATGATTTTGACACAACTGCTAAATTTCTAGGGCTCTATATTGATAACCATCTTCAATGGAACTGGCATGAGGAAATGACCGCCAAAACTATTTGTAAAAATATATTTCTACTGAGAAACCTCAGCACCAAAGTGCCTACCGATTTCTTAAAAAATGCCTACTTTGCTCTCTGTCAGAGTCATTTTACTTACGGGCTAATAGTTTGGGGTCATTCTCCAATACGGCATAGATTTTTTAATCTCCAACGTAAGGCAGTTAGGATTATTGCGGGACTTGGGTACAGAGAAGATTGCAAAGACAAATTTATAGAACTTAAAATTCTTACTCTAACCTCACTATATATATTTCATTGTCTTATTTTTATAAAAAAAAATTTAAGTGACTACTTGTGTCATCGTGATGTCCACAACCATGATACTCGGTACAAGTCTAAACTACGCTTGAGAAAACTGAGACTTCACAAGTCTCAAAATGGTACCGAATATTATGGCATAAAGTTTTTTAACAAGTTGTTCCATGACGTGCAAACTCTGTCCATGCGTAAATTCAAAATTACTTTGAAACAGTATTTGCTCTCAAAGGCTTTCTACACCTTTGAAGAGTTTCTAAATGATGTGCTGTACTTTTCAATTTAAATGTATTTAATTTTAATTTTGTATCTTGACTTATGCAAAAACCGCTGTAGTTCTTATGCACTAATAAACTTATTATTATTATTATTAAACTTATTATTACTTTTTCCCACGCTGCGGTCTTATCTGGTGCCGAAATCTTGTTGCCGTTAAAATTTCCGAAAATTATCTTTTTGTATTTCTTAATTTCTTGTAAAACCGCCAGTTTTTTAGTTATAGTATCTCTTCTTTTACTCATGATTACTATTTTGCAGAAGGTTTGCACAGCGTGACAGCAAAGACTGATTGTATTCAATTGTGACAGCCGGTAACTTGATTATCAATAAACTTTGCAAATTTTAAATTTTGAACGACTTTCCGCAAAGTACTTTTCAAGTCTTGGTGGAACAAAAACACTTTGCACTTTTCAATTTCTGAAAAGTGAAAAGCGCAAAGTGCAAAGTTTTCAGAAATGTTGGTGGAATAGGGCCCTGGCATGTTAAAATCATCAAACACAAATACTTTGTCGTGAGACGTAAACAAATCCGAAAGAGCCTTAAACAAACTAATATCATCGTTAATATTAGAATCAGGAGCACGGTATACACATCCTATAATATACGTCAAATTCCGCTTACTAATTTTCTGAAAAATGGACTCGATACCGGTAATAGGAATATCCAATTCTGTTATTGAGAAATCAGAAAAAAATTTATGAGAAACGTATATACATACACCACCCCTTCTCTCTTCTAGAACAACGGTCTTTTCGAAACATCGTATAACCATTTAAAGAAACTAAAGAATCTGGTACTATGGCTGGCAACCAAGTTTCAGACAACGCAAGAAATGTAGGGCTTTCATGACTAACGTAAGCAGTTAAGTCAGTATATTTAGCCATGAGCGAGGCAATGTTTGAATAAACTATAGTACCAGTAAAGTATTCACAGTTTGTATTATTGAATACCATGACTAGGAAATAGAATTATCTAGAGCCGTTAAAGATGGCTCGTCACAAACATCGGTTGGAGAATGTACTATTTTTTTGTAAGCTCGTTTCAGTTTTTTACCCTAATTTTTTTTGAGGATTTTTAATACTTTTATGCGTCACTAGAGGAAAAATATCGTACAACATCGAAGATACACCTTCTACATCAGCAGTATACTTATGGAGAAATTGTAAAATGTCTGTTGAGTTTGTTTAAGGTCTCAATATTATATTTTATATTGTCACGACCCAAGCTTAATTTCCCAGGAACCCCAAATTTTAAACTACCAAATAAAATTTTAAACTAAATTTATTATCGAAAATGGTACTTACATCGTTCCGGGGTCTTGTTGTTACGATGGTGGTCACTCACAAACTCCCCGTTTTGGGTTCTCGTTGGAGCCAGGAAACCACCATCCCGCTAGAACAGCAATTTTCCCCACTTGTCTTAGTTCAATCACATTTCCGTTCTAGCAGGATAATGCTCTCCCGTCTCCAAATACCACGATCGCATGATTCGAGAGGAAGCGAGGCGTCATGAATTCGCAAACTAAGAATATAAAATATTTGTATTCATGACA